ATGAAACAGAACCTACCGCACGGAGCACCTTGATCACTGGATGCCGTAGTTTTGATCAGTAATGCAAATATTCATGACTGACATTGTGTCGTTGCCGAAATACGGCAGGGAACGGCCCGAAAGAGGCCATCGAGGATACACCGCCGTCTTCACTACATCAGACCGCATTGCCACACCGCGTTACAATCCATTAGCACTGTGCCAGTTCACTCCCACAAGACCACCGATTGTCTAGGATCACAACACGCTTGTCCCATAGAACGTAACTACGTTTCTACATACAAAATCTACCCAGTTACGATCCCAGATGTCAACTTTTGTGGTTTTGTCTGCGCCACCATTCCTGTTCAGCTCCATGTTCGATATATCTCTTGTTATCAAGAGCGATACATACGTAGAACACTCGTGCTAAGAAAAAAGTCATGACTTTGAACCATCACTATAGTACGGTCAAATGAGTTCGTTGCAGAACATCATTCTCCCACCAATAGGCTGTTCCGATGATTGTATGAGACTGGTAAATTCTCGTCAGCTCAAACACCACTGTTTTGGGCTACTTTTGACCAAGACCGCAACCGGCGTCTTTCATAACTCGTCTACGGGAGTCTGCCCGACCTGTTTGACATGGGCGAACTAGACACCAGCGCCAACTAATTAATGCTCGGTCGGTAAATCTCTGCATTGAGATCATTAACTACAAACATTAGATCATAATCTACGTAGTGTTGGCAGGCCTGACTTCGGAAGTAACTTCAGAAATTATGGACCGCTGGCTCTCGGCACCGGAGTGGCGGAATCCTACGGAGTGTTACTGGTGTTGTCACCAGGTATATAAGGAGCACTGAGTATCTATGCTTCCAGATCAACTGCAACATCCTCTCTGATTATTTGTCCTTCATCAAGATGCAGATCACTATTGTTACTCTCCTCTCTCTTGCTGCTTTCGCGTTAGCTGCTCCTCAGCCTGCTCCACAAAGGGATCTTCCTCCTTTTTGCAGCAGTGGAGGTGAATGTGCTGGCTGGTGTGGACCCAATCGTACCCCATACTGCGAACTTTACCCGGATAGGTAGGTCACATAACCGTCTCCAGATACAATCTTTACTAAAGGGTTTACAGCAGTGGAGATCGCTGCGTCTGCAGTGGTTAGAAAGCGTGAAAGGAAACTGGTAAATATTCAACGCTTGGCCTGCGAGACAATTCTAATTACCTAGTTGGACACACAGTGCGAGTATTTACGCACATGTTAAGCTCAGAGGTGACAAGCGATATAAGTGGATCAGGGAATTCTGAAATTTTACAGATACGCTCATGCTTGTCGCTTCGTAATTGTGATTATGAAGGTTACCCAAAACATATAGAACGCTGTCTACATTGTCCCCAAAGAAGCCACCAACCATGCTCTGTAGATCCTAATCCCAATTTGATCCCTTCAGTGCAATTCGTCATCTCACTCTTCTTTTCTAGCTCCCCACAATCCTTGCCTAATCTGTACGTCAGAATTAGAACCCCCTTCGAGGATGAATATAGCAGACATGGCTGCAGTCGAATCGCGGAAGTCTTATCCTTATAGCTTCGAATTGGCATGCTTTTTCCACAGCGGACGGAAGGAGTCTTCAAGCGGGCTATCGCGTCGCCCAATCCTCTCCTTTGTTGTTTCAAATAGTCGAGGTAGACCAGTCTGCTCGAATGGTACTCCATCTCGCACCATAGCAGCTAAACCTTTGCTCGATAGCAGAATCTGCGGCATCCCATGGCCATTGAACCCAGCAATAATGAACTGGTGCGGTTTCTCCGGTACTGCACCAATATGGGGCATGAAGTCTGAGCTGTAGCCCATGACTATGAAGAGTGTCAGTTGCGTAAGTGCGAGAGGCTTATCAACTCACTACCAGTCCAAACCTTCTTCGTTTCGGCTTGCGTTTTCTCCCACCCACTGAAATAGCGCTGCATGTATCCATCAAAGTATGATGAGGCTTCATCAACAAGCTCATCATCGCGCACCGTGTTGAACCAGCGCTCGGGTTTATGCCAGAATCGCTGCCTCGCGCCTCCAACAATAATGCTTCCGTCGGTTCGGGGAATGAGATAGTCGTAATTTCGAGAATCAAAACGGATGGCGTATGTGTTATTGAGATGTGGCGTTTGTCGCTTCTGCGGACTTTCGATATGACTGCACACGCCACGAATCGGCGTGATACTCCGTGCATACTCCGGTAGAACTTGACTAGTGTAGCCATTAGTGGCGTGAATTACCTTCCTGGCTTTGATCGCACCGCGTGGTGTCTGAATCGTCCACCGGCCAGTCTCGTCTATGACATCGGACACAGAGGCGACCGGTGTGTTTGCTTGTACGTTCAACTTATAGTCCTGCTCAAGCAGCTTCGCTAATAGTTGATGCACCATCTTTCGCGGCCACACGTGCGCTGCGGTGAAGCTGAAGGCACAATGCGCACCCTTCACACCAGAAATCTTCATAGTTCTGTTAGCATATGTTTCAAATATCCCTACAGAGAGCAAGCATACGCACCCTTTCGGCATCTTTCTCAGGAATGTAAGCCACGTCTCTCAAGTCAATCGTCTTCTCTCGCCTTAGCTTCTTCCACGCCTCAGTTGTTTGCCGCGCATGCTCAGCATCCAGATACACATCAATCGCTCTCGTGAGATGGAAGTCGCAGTCTAGCCCCTCAGTCTCAACGAGGTCTTTTACCGCAGACACGTTCGCCGCTTCGAAAGAAGCCACCTCTGCCGCGGCGCTCGTGCCGTACATGGAAACATATTTCGACACGTTGAAGTAGAGATCCGGCTTCACGTGCCCGCCGTTGCGACCTGTAGCTCCAGAGCAGATCTTACGAGCATCGAGGATAAGAACGGATGGTGATGCAACTGGAGAGGATGATGTAAGGATATGGTAAGCTGTAGCCTAGTAGAATGTGGTTAGCACGTATAAGTATAGGATGGAGTCTGTGATGAACACTTACAACTCCAGCAAACCCCGCACCGATTATGACAATATCTGCTTCACTAGGAAGATCATCCGTGGTACGTAGATTATCGTTAGGATCAGATTCTGATGTCCAAAATGATTGCACGGGGGTTGAGACCGGTGTACGGTCAGTTGCCATGTTGAGGTACTGGTTCTATGCCGTCTTGACAGACTCGTTGTTGAACTCCTATGATACTAGCAGTCAGGATGATATTCTTTTCACACTACCATCTGGGATGCTGTTGGAGAGTTGTGGTACGGTACTACTCCGACAGCGGTATAGCAGTACAGCGGTACGTACGTATGCGCCTGACGAAGCACGGAGACGGCCGCGGCGTAAACCGCGCGCACACCTCCCCCGCTTCCTGAGCGTCTCCTGCGTGTGTAATCTCCTACGGTTCTTCTTGGCTGCGTATGTTGATCCTTATCGACAAGAGTGGGATGTTGTCGATAGCGGACATGCTTTGCCGAAGTGCAGATCGACAAGGGGGTTTGCTCGCTTGTTTTGAGTGATCATGCATGTCGGCGCCCATCCAGTACACAAAAACATCTAGTGGCGTTCTGGGCGAATCCTTCTGCTCCACGATCACTTGGCATGACTATGAGGTGTTCGATATTGCGGTAGTAACCTAGTCGAGGTGCGTATTCCCATATTACTATGCTTCGAACCAATACCAGCTTACCTTGAGTTGGCGTCGGACGCAGATATAATCCCGCGTGCCATCTCAGTGAAAGAATCTGCCGTGACGTCCATTTCACCAAACAGATTGTCGCAGCGAATCTTCTCCCAGATAGTGCAGTATGCAGCCTTGAATCTGTTGTTTGGTTAGCTGTGATAGAACAGGCATCGATTTGATTGTGGAAACTTACCCATGAATTTTGGCAGCCGCTACATCCCAATTATGCGCAGCGGCAAACCATTTCTCATCGCTGCCCAGCTTTTCCATCATCATCTGATATACCTTCGGATCCGGTTTACCGATCTTGGCCGTGTCGCACGAGATGAAGTTCTCCTTAGGCATGGGTATACCATTGTGCGTGAAGTAGCCTCCGACACGCTCCACATCTCCTGCTGTCAACGCCCAGACCGTGAACCCAGCATCCCTCAACATCTGAAAGCATTCTGCTACACCAGGTCGCGCCTCGAGCTTCTTGTACTGCTCCAGAATGTACTTCAGATCTTCGTCGCTAGCGAACACATGGGGTTCTTCGATACCGGACATGTATAGCATACGATAGAACAGGCTGCTAAAGATGTCACGGAACCCAATATAACGGCCATTCATACTGAGGTAAGTGTACTCTCTTTCGGTGACTTCGATCCACAGGTAACCGAAGAGTCGTGGTTTAATGCCTTCGGCACGCATCTTGTCGCCCAAGCGGTGGTCAAGAGCATCGAAGATTGCATCATAGGAGACACAGGTGCCAACAATGTCGAACACCACGTGCTTATTGGGTGTGCGCATTACGACAGTGTTGCGTGTTGAAGGTATTGGGCTTTCGATCGGGAGTTTGGAATTTCTCAAAATGGGTGATAGTAAGAGTTGATAATAGATCCTGCTCGCATGTCAACAATGCACCATCTGGGTAACTATAACGAAGCATCGGGGTGTGCTATAACGATATCGGAGCATACCTGTGCGAGGTTTTGGGCATGATAAGCGCTGCTCCACTCAAAGCTTGGCCAGGTAGGGGCCTTGCCTTGGCGAAGTCTGCATCAACCCAGCATCACTGCGGGGACCGACTACTCACAATCCTGTCCAAGATTTCTGAGGTTGATAAGAACAGATAGGAACCGGGATGCTGGATTGACGACTATCTGGCTTAGCAGATATCGGATGATGATAAGCACAAAATCTTGGAGAGTGTCATGCGAACAGGCATCCGGGAGTGTGCAGCCGCCAACATGCAAGTATATGTTTTGAACCCAATGCTTGTCTCGGTCGGCTGAATTCTCTGCTCGTCTGTTATCCCCTCCAAACGACCTGTTACTCTCATCTCTCCATATAGGCAATCATGACCATGACGTCCAAGAATGTGGAAGCACCGAGGATGACACTGAGAACCCCCTCTATACCAGACGACGAGAAGAGCAGCCCGCAGATACAACATGGAGAGGTCGAAGATGCAGCAATCGTAGCTGCACTACAAGGCTATGTGCCAGGTACCGCGGAAGAGAAACGTTTGGTACGAAAGATTGACTTCGTATTGCTTCCAATCCTTTGGTGGATGTACATCCTTGCGCATCTCGACAGGAGCAACATCGCCAACGCCAACGCGGCGGGTATGAGCGAGGATCTTGGACTCTCTGACAACCGTAAGCGTCTGAATGCAGCATACTAAAAGTGTAAGCTGACAACATATAGAGTATGCAATGCTTGTATCACTCTTCTTTGTGGCATACGTCATCTTCGAGGTTCCTTCGAACATGATACTGATGAAGGTGAAGCCTTCGATCTATTTATGTATGTGTGCTCAATGAGGTAGAATGTGCTATGGCAGAACTGATGGATATTAATTTAGCCACGATCGTGTGGGTTTGGGGATGTGTTGTTCTCGGGATGTCACAAACCAAAAGCGCGACAGGTTTGCTTATTGGACGCTTCTTTCTCGGAGCTATCGAGGCGGGGTTGTATCCAGGCGCGCTGTTCATTCTTACTTGCTGGTACACGAAGAAAGAAGTCGGTATGTACGCCATTGAATGTTCATGACATGAGCCATTGACCGAATCTCCAGGCAAGCGCTTTTGCATTTTTTACACGTCGGGCTGCGTATCTCCCGCACTGGGTGGCATCATGGCAGGCGCAGTAATATCTAGCCTGGACGGCGCTCGTGGGATTCCGGGCTAGCGTTGGTTGCTTGTCATAGAGTCCGCAATTACGATTGTCTGTGGTTTCGGGTGTGAGTAGTCTCCACGTCAATTACGTTGACGCTGCTGACTGCCTCCTCACATCAGTGTATTTCGTTCTTCCCAACTGGCCGATTGACTCCAAGATGTTGTCGCCGGAACAGCGCCTTCTTGCTCATGTCCGCATTCTCCGCGATCGGGACGAGTCGTGGGATACCGAAGAAAAGGCCCTTACGCCACTACAGGCGTTCCTCGCAGTGATCAGAGATGGTCGAACCTATCTTTTTCTGATCATCTATACGGCGAATTGTTTGGCGCTGACCGTGTCTTACTTCATTCCAACCATGCTCAGAGGAATGGGCTATACGAGCACTAGTGCCCAGTGGATGACGGTACCCATTTGGAGTTGCGGCGCGGTATTTCAGCTCTTTTGGTAAGTAGCTATCATGCAAGAACGAGCTAAAAGATACTGGCTAATCGCATGTCCGCTGTATAGGTCATGGACTTCGGACAAGACCCAAGACCGAAGATGGCACAATGCTGGCCTGCTTGGGTTTGCTGGAATCGCTGCACTAGTAGCTCTCCTCGTCAGCAATAATGCGGTCAAGTATGCTATGTTGTGTGTCCAGACTGGCGCGATGTACACAACAATACCTCTGATTCTCAACTGGACCAGCGAAGTTCTGTCTCAGCCAACACGTAAGCGATCTATAGCTATCGCGTTGGTGAACTCGTTTGGTCACACGAGCTACATTTACGGAAGCTTCCTGTGGCCCAGCGCCGAGGGGCCACGTAACCTAAAGGGATTTGCCGTGTCATCTGCCGTCTTGTGGTTTGGCGTCTTGGTGGCTGCATTGATGCCAGTGATCGCGAGTTACCTACCAAAGCCGCAGCCTGACGTAATGCTGCATGGACAAGAGTTGTTTGTTGCTGGTGAGGAGAAGCTCGAGAAGCAGGACAAATGATCTTGTCGTACAAGAGCGAAGAGAATGTAGGAAGATGTATACGATGCAAGAATAACCGAGTGACGCAAAAGTGAGGCCGCGATCGTGGAAGGGAGATTCGATGGGCCAGGGTCAGGTACGTACCGAGGTCCCGGCTTCTGCGCGGAAGGCGCGATGTAGATCCGCGCCCCAAACCGGTAAAGTCTGTTTTCTCCTGATCTAGACGTCCTTTCCTGCATTCTGCAGGCTTACTCAACGACCGTGAGCGTCGCGCTGTCGCAAAGCTCGTATTTGAACCTTGCGAATAACATTGGCTTCATCTTATTTTTGCATCTTGTGTTCAGACGTATCACTTACGAGGATCATGCCCATCACGCGCTGAATTGACACGACCTCAACGAGTGTCCGTACAACGCACGGCAATGCCATTGAGAATTGTCTCCATCACCCTAATATGCTTGCTTTTGTTTAGGTTGGCTTGAATCCGTAGCCCAAGGTTACCCAGTGTAAACCTCATGCGTTCATTGATTCAAGATTAGCTTTGGATAGAATTGGAAGCCCACTCAAAGCTGACTGTCTCTAACAGAGAGAGAACTCTCTTCGAGGATCAATGAATTTTGACTACGTGGCTACCATGACTAAAACCTTGTTTACTCCGCCAGTTCACACACCACATTCCCCGTGAACATCAAAGCTGTAAATAGTCGCTTCTTGAGGCAGCACGCGCTGCATCTTGCACAGCACTTCGGCCCAGTAGAGTTAAGCGCATGTTGAGCACGAGTGCTGCCCTCCATGTGAAACACATTCTTCCGGTCGAATCCCCCAAAAATTGCCACGTCCCGTGTATCATCCTACGTTCAAGCGCAGACTGCATGACAATGGAGCTTTGCCGCGAACGATCATCACGCTACGGGCCGTTTGAACAACGAAAATCTCCCCCCGTTGAGTTCGGGACTCACTCTCTACCCTGTTGTTGGGCATCAGTAATTTTGTGATCCTCAACAGCACCCTCTCCGCACTCGGGATGTCATGCCAGACTAGTGTCTCTGAAATCAGATGCACTCTCATTGGAGCTATGTGTCTTGAGTTGCCGGCTGGGTCTATGAACACTGACGATCGCTCAGCAGTACAAGTGCTTGGACGGTCGATAACTACCTAAGCAGGTAACGCACAGTGAACGTACACGTGCGCCACTGTACTTCATCTTGGAGTCTCGGGCCTTCTACATCACCAATGACTCCAGAATGGCTTACTATTGCCACTTACCTCGGCCACTCACTGCATACACTTACCCTTCTCATCTGCCGACCCCAACAATCATAGGGCTGACAAATACGAGCCGTTTACTTCCTGGAAGAGGCACACAGTCATGTCGAAACAAACACATGCCTTTGTGGCCTGGAAAGCCTTTCTCTACACAAACGTTGCCAAGAAGGCGCGTAAAACTTCGTTGACCAGATAGTGTGCTTCTAGAAATAAGCATCAATTTCGCATTTGCTTATACGATATACAGGGTCGAATCTTATACCATGCACCTAGTAGCCTCAACTACCGAGACCCCCAGGTGTACAAAGTTTATAATAGGTCCGAACTTTGAGGCTCTGGTGCTCACGGGTATCAGGGTCCCCCAGCGTCGGGCTTATGGGTTCAACACAGGGACGCACATGGATTACCCATCTTGGCGAAGGATAGGGCAACGGTGATACAAGACAGAGCACCTCAGCGAAATATATAATGTAGCTCGGGTAATGTGGGTTTCTGCGTTGCTCATCGAAGACTACTTTTTCATTCTCTATCATGTCAAACGACACCTTTTCAGGCGGCTTATTGGCCGACTATCCCGCCGCCGCTCAAGGCGCAATAGCAAGCGACTATGTGCTACGCTGGAAGCTCGTCGGCGCTCTTTTTGTCATGCTCGTTGTCTCTCAAGTTACTAAGATGATCTACCGCGCGCACATCGACCCTTTGCGAGCTATACCAGGGCCTTGGATCAGTTCAGCATCATCAGCCTGGATTCGCTGGCAGCGATGGCATGGCAGATTGTCCTTTGAGGCAGACAAGCTCATGACTAAATATGGGCCCATTGTTAGGATCGCTCCTAACCTTGTTATACTCAACGATTCCGAGGCAGTGGAGAGAATCTTTGTAAGAAAAGACCTTGACACTTCGCCAACATCCATCCGAGCCTTGCGTGTAGGCGGTCATGACTGGACCGTTACATACCCACAACACCCGATTGCTCGCCAGAGACGACATCCAGTCATGATCGCCACCACCACGAAGAACATGAAGCTCTGGCATGACGTCTTCGTGACCAACATCGAAGCCATGGTTCGCGATCTCGCAAAGTCAGACGGCGAAAAATCCGAAGACATCGTATACCACCTGCGCATAGCCACTCTTAAGAACTCTCAAGTCGTCATGGGTGGTTCGGGAGTTGACCTTGACTGCAGCGACTTTCCCCATGTTGTCGGCGAATACAACTTCCTTGTCGTCTGGCGTCTCTGCCTTCCAGAATGGTTGTTCGCATGGCTTCAGTACGGTCCTTTCGCGCACCCACGGTTCCGGGTACGATCTAGTGACAAGCTATTCGACTTGGGCGCAGCGCTGTGTAAACAAGCCGCTGAAGTGAGCGAAGAGCCAACTGACAACGTATACAAGCTATTCACTGCACCAGACGCCAAATACCCCGTCGAGCAATCGTGGACAGATCCAGAGATTGGTGCAGAGATGGCGGGACAGGTACTCGCTGCCACTGAAACGACTTCATCAGCTCTCGCTTTCATATACTACGAGTTAGCGAAGAACCCGAGCCTTCAGGAAGAGCTATACAAGGAGGTAGCCGCTCATGAGGGTTATGAAGAGCTTGACTCGTTGAAACTCCTCGATGCATGCATTAAAGAGGGTCTGCGCTTCCGCCCACCTGTCGCTCTCACAGGTTCACGCCTCGTCCCCGCTGGAGGTATCAACGTCCTTGATTATCACCTCCCTGCCGGTACTGTTGTGACTACACAATCTCTTAGCATGTCTCGTCAGCGCCCCGATCTCTTCCCCGACTTCGATACCTACAACCCGCGACGCTGGCTCGTCGAGGACGAACATAGCGCCGAGCGTCGGAAGATGCTTGTGCCTTTCGGTGTAGGAGCGAGGCGCTGCCCAGGAGGAAATATGGCGACCTATCAGATGAGACTCATCTTGGCGGCGACATTCAGAGCGTTCAGAATCGAACTTGCACCTGAGACAACACCAGAGAAGATGGCGCCGTTCGAGGCAAACGGATACCGAAGTAGGCATGATCGATGCGATCTGATGTTCAAGCCTAGGACTGCGTGATGATTTTGGTGTAAACATCGATCGTCCATTGTCTTGATGATCGTCCTGATGATACTTGTGTTACCCAAGCGAAGATTTTCAGATGCGTGGATGGCTTCTGGCGCTCATAAGCAAGCATGCATAGTTTTCCTTCTGCGTTCATTTGGAGTTCTTAGATAGGTAGCGTCAAGATTACTCGTCATCAATCCTCATAAGCTGTCGCGGAGCATAATTGAAGACCCATGTCTATAATCGAATAGGTCGTTTGTATTCTATATCGGATGGAATTGTACCCGCGATAACTTGGGCGAGTAGCATGTTGTGAGGTGGCTGGCGACCAGATGACAAGCTTCCTGACATGTATCAGGGATGACGCGTACCTACTGACGTCATCATCCCACCTGTACCTTTGAACCTAGGCAGTTTGAAACCACCACATACTCACGCTACACGTGGACATGGCGAAGTCGAGACAAGACACAAACAAGGAACTTTTCTTGCTGCTCGTGCATCGCCAGGGCATACGCTTGCGGCTGCGAATCCGCCTGGTGGAATCCCCAGAAAGCGGGGAGACGTGGCTGCGGTCTGCGGCGCTTCCGATAGGGTCTCAAGTCGCATCTTGACGCATCCATCGAATCGATCTAGAAACCTCACATATTTTTCAGAATTGTAGATCGGCCAGGCCCACGTACATCGCATACGCAGCTGCACTGGTACCTAGACAGCACACTCACAGCCGCAACCGCTCTGTACCCGTCCGGGTCCTTATCTACAAACGCCACAACCGTATTATCCCGCATCATCGTGCGTGTGATCTGCAAGTGCAATATTTCAGACGCACCATATGCATCACCTGGAGCTTAACGAAAGCTTGATAAAGCTTGGAAAGCTTGGTCGCATGCTTGCAAGCCCATGACCACTGCTGCGACATTCCGGCCGATGTGCCCGACGGTTCCTGGTCGAGAGCTAATGATTGGAGCGCTTGGAGTTGGGCAGGTAGGTTTGCTGCTTCGAGGTGGGTGTGATGCATGCGTTGGTGGAAAGCACGAAGGTATATATGCCGCCTCATCGTCACTTCAAGCAAAATAATTACTCATTTCCAATTCTCCATTACACCAGTGCTACAACACAAATCTGCTGAATTAAACCTACACTACCATCGACTGAGCAATCTAGTAACAACATGGCATCTCTACAGCGTCTCGCTGTTCAGCGTAGCCCTGCCTACAAGCCCGCTGGGGTCAAGAGCTATGTCTACGCGATGACAAAGTGTAGGTGACCTGTTACATTCTCTCTTAAGTTCTGAACTGACATGCGCAGATGGCTTCCATCCGACCAAGCCAGGCCCATATTTCCAAGCCAAGGTCATGTCACAGCAAGGCAAGTTTGGACGAGTCGGCGGCCGCATGCGATCACACTACGTCTTGAGGAAGCGGGAGCAAACGTCAGCACCGGGTGGTGCGCAGAGCAAGGCCGCAGCCCCAAGCGATGGAGGTGGAGCTGAGGGCGAAGTGCCCGCTGAAGACATCCAGAACGACTCATTATATCTCTGCGAAGTCGGTGTCGGAACACCTGAACAGAAGTTGTACTTGGATTTCGATACAGGATCTTCGGATCTTTGGGTATGTGAGCCCATCTAAGTTCTCGTGATATATGCTAAGACGTACAGGTCTGGTCCACTGAGCTTCCCAAGAACATCCTCAGTTCTG